GGGAGTTGAAGTCCACACGTCTTAAAGTCGCCAAGGTTGAGAACCCTGGTCTAGACATTTGATTGAATATACAACTATGGTTGAGATGGAACGTTCTGTCCACACAGCAGAAGGAAGAGAAGGTGGATTTGGCAGAAAAATTTGAATGAGCAGAAATGAAGAACAGCACACAAAAGCTGGGAACTGTTGCACCACGCAAATATCACCCTCGCTCTGTCTCAGCTCCTGGATGTGTTGCGTTGCTCAAACGTGCCACTTTCTTTCTCTCTAAAGCCACTTTTCATCCTAGCAGAGGTTTTTTCCTAGGACAGAAACACTGTAGAGCCCTTCCTATAAAATCAAATCATTTATTTTAGGCTGAAAAAAGTTTGTTCTGTTTTTTTTTTTTAAAAAAACGCGTCTCTACTGAGCCTTCCAACTGCTTTCTTTTTACGGCCTCCAAATTGGGGAAGATTTTCCACGCAAAGAGAAACCATTAGTCTCGCCATGTTACCTCCACTTCGTCAGTACGATACCTGAAAGAATGAAAAAAACACAAATACCATTTTAGTTGGTATCCATTCCTCTGAGCATGAGATTTACCTTTGAGTAAACACATGCAAAATGTAGCTTTAAGCGGCCTTTAAAAATGGAGGGGATGGGAAGGGATACAAAGCTGCAATCATAATCATGCTGATTTGCCCCAAAATCCGGACTCCCAAGACCTTCATGACCAAAATGTAGGAGGTGTTTGCTTAACTGGGGAGTGTCTGCATTTTCTGGATTTGTATTTAAAGGTGCACAACTGCAGAAAGTTTAAAAAACGTGGAGTTAAAAACACCGAGGTAAAGCCACTGCTCCAAAAGTGTCTTTGATTTAGTAAGGATCTAAGTAAATTTATGTTCATCAGCACTTCTATGTCCCATCTCCTCTTAATTTCACATCCATTCTTTCCCTCTGCACTGCAAAACATTACCTTTGCGTAATCCATGAATCTTCAAGTGCTGTGACTTGGCCAGACCGAAACATTTCCCAGCCAGCTTGTGCAATCATGGCTCCATTGTCAATACAGAACCTGGGTACAAAAAGGTCATGAGGAATCATAGTTGGAGAATAAAAAAAAGGAGACCCTTTCTGAGTGCAGGGTCTCTGTAGGTCCTTGTTCTCTTGGTCTTATTTCCCTTCCTGTAACAAACAGGCCAAGCACAGGGCTGAAAGGTTGCCAAGGCTAGAACTCAAGGAACATCCACAACAGCATTAAGTCTGCAATAGTTCCACTTCCCAAACTTTTTACACCGACACTTGTAGGAGGCAGGTTAGTTGAGTCTCAGACTCAGACCAATAAATGGGTTCAAGCAACATGATGCCCACCATGGCTTTGCTAGGCTGTGTAGATTCTGCAACACCCAGTTGGGTCTCTGAAGAGACCCCCAACAAATGGCTGGAAGCCAAGTCTAACAGGATCTGGGGAAGAAGGTGGAGAGGGGGAATCTCACCTCTCATCAGTTGCAAAGAGTCGGGCTCCTCTCTCTCTGCACATGATCCCCATCATCTCTTGCAGTCGCTCATTACCTGCAAAGAAAGGAACAGTCTCTCTTGTTGAAAAAAACACGGGTTGAAAGTCAACAAGCACTGCTTCTAACAGACCAAACCATCCTGAGTTTTCTGCCCCTCTGGTTCAGTGGTTAAAGGCACCAGGTTGGAAACTGGAGGACTGTGAGTTCTAGTCCTACCTTAGGCATGAAGCCCACTTGCGGACCTTGAGGCAGCCTTTCTTTCTCTGCCCTAGGAAGACCAAGGCAATGGCAAAGCTCTTCTGAAAACGTTGCCAAGAAAACTGCAGGTCCAGGCAGTGGCCAGGAGTCAAAACAGAATCAAAGTTAAAAAAAAAAAACTATAATGAACCCAGAAAGAACACCATAACTGGGGTCTACCCATGGACTAGTAAAAGAAGAGAGATCATAGCTGTCTCAATTACAGCCTGGGATTATGCAGCTGCTCCTTGAAACTGAGTTGGAAAAAGGATTTGGAAACTTGGCTCCCTTTCTCCAAAGACACAATATGTGGGCCATGATCTGAGAGCAAGAGGCAGATTGAACGGAAGAGAGAAATCTCAGAATTTGAAACAAGAAACAAGAACATTCAGAACTGGAAAAGGTTAGCGCAGGGAAGAATTGGAAGGAGATATAAAGTAAGTGGGGAACCAAGATTCTGAAACGGAAACCTTCAGAAGGTAGAACAAATCCGTTCAAGGTGACACCACTCAGAGAGGTTCAAAGCCAGTTTCCCAGTCCTGAGAGAAGGTTGGGTGGAACAAGAAACCAGCTTTTTTGAAACAACATGCCGAAGACTAATGCCCAGATTAACAAAGCACGATTGCTGTGTTTGCACAGCATGTCTTACCCAAACCAATACAGGTAGTCCTGGGGTTACAATGGCAATAGTGCCGTGGTCAGGCACTACAGAGCACAAGCAGGTTGGCGGGGGCCTTAGGTGGGTCGGTGGAGGCCGCAGGAGGGCCAGAGGAGGCCTTAGGGAGGTGCTGGGGAGCGCTGGTGGGCAGGCACGGAGTACAGGTGGGACAGCAGGGGTCACAGGCAGGATGCTGGGGGCAGGGGTGCTATGGAGCGCAGGCAGGGGTGCTACAGAGTATGAGATCCCTGGGATCTCATACTCTGTATTGGGCTTCTTGGGAGAAAAAGCAGCAGGAGCTACTTAGTGGAGTGACTTCCAACCTTCCCTGCTGGTTTCCCCATTGATTATGCTTGTGGGAAGCCTGCAAATGGAAATCACGTGACACAGCTTCCTGCAACATCATAACTGCAAGCCAGGTACCAGAGCACCCAGATTGCGATCACTTGACCTCAGAGATGTTGCGATGGCCGAAACTTCGAGGACCAATCATGAGTCCATGTTTTCAGTGCTGCTGTAACTTCGAATGGTCGCTGAACAAATCGACATAAGCCAAGGACTACCTGTAAACCATTTTATGGCTTCATATAATACCCTGAACCACAGACAAAAACTCTCCTTCAAGAGAAGCTCCACTTCTGTGGATTTCATGGACCTTCCTATATAGTTTTCATGGCAACAATACAGTTTACCATCACTGTCTTTTGGGATATTTTTCAACTTCCCCCTCTAGCCCTGAAATTTCTCGGTAGTCTCCCTTCCAAGCACCAAACACATCCAACCCTGGTTAGATGAAGATCAGCCAAGGTTGATGAGGGTCCAACCACTGTTTTTCTTTTTTGGTGGCAGCTGGGGGGGGAAATGATATAAACCAAACAATAAAGTTGGTTTGAAGCTTTATGGGGAAAGGCAGTAGGTGATTAAGAAGACAAGGGCATCAGTCATTCCCAGCCTCTACCCGAATCACCTACAGCCAACGCCGCCCACAATTAAGGCCTCGCTGGAGCCGGTGTGTGCCATGGCCCGTTCTGTGATCTCCACCAGCATTGCAAAGAGTGTCTCCTGGTGAAGGAGAAATTATAGGATTAGTAAAGAAGCTTTCTTTTCAATTTTCAGCTATGGGTACCCATTCTCTTCCATCTATGCGTGCAAAATACATTAGCCTTCACCCATGATGGGGAAGAACTGGATCTTTTCTAGCTGCTGGCAACAGCTCTGAAGCTTATGAGCCTCTTCCCACCATCCCAGAGCCTAATCTGTCAGCCCTACAAAGTAGACCAGACTAAGAAACCAAGGCCATGTAGGTTAGTACAACTTTTAAAGTAACAGCTATAGTAACAGAATGAGCTTCTCCACCTCACTTTAGCTTTGTGTGAAATAGGGAGGGGCTTGTCTGAGCCGTTTTCTCAAGTTATTTTGTTGGCCTCAATCCCCCCTTATCTGATCATTGCCCTGGTAGTGGCTCTTCCTCCTCTCCTTCAAGATTATTCCCTCTTCCCTCTACATAATCCCAGATCCAGATTTGGTTAGTTCCTTACCTGTAGAGAGAAGCAGAGGTCCTCTGGAGTGCACTGTCCTGCGGAGAGCATCCTGTGAGCCACGTCCTGCAAGAGAACTGTGTGAATCCCTGCACTATTACAGGTAGTCCTCATTTAGCAACCACAATTGGCACCAACAGTTCGGCTGTTAAGCAAAGCAGACGCTAAGTGAAGCTGCGACTGTGCTTATGATCTTACTTCAGCTTTC